TTGTATTATTATTAATTAAATGAAATATTTTGCTGAAATATAGTTATGATTGCCCTTATTTCATTTCGAAAGAATTGACATTACACGAATTTTATCTTATCTTATACGAATTGCAGCAGTTCCACTGTTTTCCAAAATAAAATTGAAGCGGCTGTTAAATATTTGACCATAAGCTACGATTCTGTTTTGACATCTCACTTTTCTTTCACAAAAAATATAGAGCTGTTTGTATTGACTTTATTTTATTTACATTTGCTCTATGCATGAGTTAATTAATATTGCCGTCGGCTTTACCACCTGTTAAATAGTTGACAAACGCATACGAATAAAAACTGTTGCACAAAAAGGCTCCACAAATATACAAACACAATCGAATATTATACATCAGCATCACAAAAAATAAATAAATACGAGTGAAATATTAATTGAAACAACATTTTTGCTTAACAAAGAGAAGCTGTCAGCTCTTGCTCGCATTTATGCAGAATAGTATGAATTCGAAAAATGAACTCTATGGAATTTATGTGACTAAATTATGAATACAATAACAAAAATATCTTAAATTTCAAGTCAAAATAAAAATTGGAATTTCATTATATGCGACAATTAACTTGCATTTTATTAATTGTGACCGAGAAAAAATAAAATAAAACAGAATTGCTGAAATATCATATCGCCTGCTGTCAGTAAGCAAACCAAATAATAGAGCCATTAGCTGAATTGAGGCTGGAGCTGGGGCGTCTACTTAATAGCGGGTTAATGCGTATAACAAAAGCGCGACGTAAAATGCACAAATCAATTTCCGCTCGGCAGCAAACCACAGCGTTGTAAATCTCCTGCTCCGACCATTGCACAATGGCCAATGGAAAATCGGCAGCAAATCCATTGAAGCCCAAAAAGCGAAAAGAAGGATGCAACCAAAACAAAGCCATATACCATCCGTATACTGAATTAGAAAGAGAAAGCAAATGAAAACAATAGACGTCACATAGCGTTGATCAATTTTCGTAAAATTAGTTTAATTTCAAGTTCTTTTTTTATTTTTATTTTTTAAATTGGCATCAATTCAGTCAGCTAGGAAGTCAGGAAAATTTGATGGAAGTGAGATGGTTTAACATGTGTCGGACAGAGACAACAACAACAACTGGTCAACTACTATAAAAATGGTCGCTGTTGACGCTGATGCATCAGCAGCCGATGCCGGCGCCGCTGTCGCTGTTGCTGCTCTGCTGCTGCTGTACTTCATTCATTCATTCAATTGCAAACAACATCCGAAACGCAGGTCACACATTGTTTTATGTTAGAGTCTCATCAGGAGCAGCAGCAGATGTAGTTTAGCCATAAATGGACGATTGGTCAGCGAATCGCCCAGCACCAGCAACAATAGGAAAAGCATTTTATTTATTTTTGTTCTTCGTTTTGGCAGCCGGACACACACACAGGTCCAACGAATATTGTATACACTTTCAATATATTGAGCAATTTTAGAATTTCAACTCTGAGTGAGACCTTTTAAATATCAAATATCAAATGAAATGTTGCCTTATGTTAACTAGATAAGAAATATGGAGATAAGAATAGTTTTTTTTAGAAATCGAGAAAGCAATGGTTATATGATAAGTTCTATTTATTATTATTATTAAAAAACAAAAATATTTATA